ACTTACGTTCACATTGAAGTGCTCGGTTATGCCACGGCCAGTTTTGCCCAACGTACCAAAGGACACGGTCTCGTCCAGGAAAAGACGCAACTTGTATTTCTTGCGCAGCTCCACCAGCTCTGGCAGCGGGCATAGCTTTCCCGTATTCATATAAATGCCCTCGACGACCAGGAAGCGACGCGTCTTTTGCGCCTTCTTTGGGTTCTGCTGATCACGTTTCTCCTGTTGCTGTAGCGAGCGCTCCAGGTCCTGCACATCGTTGTGCTTGAAGAACACAATGGTACTGCGCGAAGCATCCAGGCCCTTTTGTATGGCAAAGTTGACGGCTTCATCACTGGGAGATTAAGGGATTACAAAGCTCTGACAGATTAATAATAAACCAAATCAAGTGGAATCTTGGCAACTCACACATAGATGATGTCGCCACGCTTAGCATAGGCGGGTATGGCGCTGGCCACAGTGGAGAAGCCATAGGAGTAGACAATGGCCTCTTCCAGACCCATGAACTTGGCCAAGCGATCCTCCAGCTCCAGGTGCACATCCATGGTACCGTAGAAGCCACGCGGACCACACGACCCAACGCCATATTTGCGTAGACACTTGCACGCCTCCTCCAGGATCTCATTGTCCTCGAGCAGGCCCAAATAGTTGTGGGAGCCCACATTTAGGCAATCATGCCCGTTGACCACAATGCGCTTGCCCACTCTCGACTCAACGAGGCGAGTATGTAACAACGGATGATCCGGATCCGTGTCGGCGACCAAAGGTTCCGGTTCATATTGTTCAATTAGAGACTCCTGCTGCTCCTTGGACAGCCCGCGACCGCCACGTTTATGCAAGAGCAAAGCTATTACCGTGATTAGCAGCAATGTCTCCAGCACCAGCGCATATGTGGGAGTCTGTAACAGAAACGCGCATATGCATTATTTCTATATAAATATGTATATTAATTCCTACTCACATTACGAAAAATACTGCCGAGTTCATTAAACAACTGTATGCCCATCATTTTGATTTCCCTGCAAACAATGAAAAATCAATTAAAGCAATTGGGCAGGAAAAAAAATGTCACGCCGTTTGTTGTTGCATGCGTCATGCCAACTGTTCTTATCGTATTTGCATGTCTAACGAATACCTTAAGCATTAATGGACGGCCAGCGATATGTGTAATTATATATACAATTTTTATGTTTTAGATAATACACGACGCATTTACTTTATAGCACACACGACTTTTATGTTTATGAAGTTAATACATAGATTGCGACTGCGTGCGCCTATCGTCGGCTTCTATCGATTTCCACTTGACGTGATGCGGCTCGATCTTCGATAGATATTGTACTTAACGAAACATATCGAGCTAGCGCCAATTTCAAGTGTATCGAAATTTAACATTAGCGATATGCTTTTATTAGAGGAGCTGTTAAAATTAAAATTTTAATTCAAATAATTAATTAATAGGAAGAAATGTAGTTTTGTTGACAAAATATTTTAAATTTGCACAGAAAATGAATATATATTTTGTAAATTAAATTAAATATTTTACATTTTATAAGAAAATTCAAACTCTATTCCCAAACCCTATTTTCCCCAAATATATATCATCAATAAATTCAAGACGGTTTAAGTTTTTGTTTGTTTTTGTATATAGATTTATTTGTTAAATTTATTTTGTTTTTAGTTTGTCTTCCAGCAATTCGTTAATGTATAAAATATAAAACAATAATCATAATTAAACGTTAAACAAATTGTACTGTCCTAGATACGTAATGAGCCAAAAGAGAAGTTCAATTAACTTTCCTTTATTGCATTCGTTTGGCAAAACAAGGAAAAGTGTGCTAATTGGCGAAATAAACAAAATATTAATATATATATATATTTAAACCATTTCACATAATGTACAATCAATAAATGTAATATTGGTTTGGATTTTCTATGTGTTTTTGTTTTCTCAATCCGAATGTTGCAATGAAAAAATTGTTGCAAGTAAAGAGTAAATATATTCTCCTTTTTTCTTTAGTTAAAAATTCAACAATTTTT